TCTTGGTTACTGTTTGCATGGAATATCATTTTCTGTCCTTTTACTTTCACCTTAAATATGTTTCTAGCTTGAAAGTGAGTTTCTTGTAGACAGCATATAGTTGGATCTTTTAAATATATTTATTTGTGTATTTAGATAATATTTATATATATAAATTTTGATAATCTCTTCCTTTAACATAATTACCGATAAGGAAGGATTTACTACTGACATTTTGCTATTTGTTCTCTGTGTGTCTTTATATAGAGTTTTTGTCCTTTATTTCTTCCAGCACTGTCTTCTTTTGGGTTTAGTTAATTTTTTGTAGTGATATTTTTAGGTATTTTGTTATGATCTATTTCTTTTTGAGTCAGTTCTGGTAGTTTTAATCTTTCAAGGAAATTGACATCTCATCTGAATTGTCAGGTTTATTGGCATGAACTTGTTTATAACATTCCCTCAGTATCCTATTAACCTCTGTACAATCTATAGTCATGTGATGTCATTCTTTTTAATGGTAATTTTTGTCTTTGTTTCTCCTGATTACTTTGGCCTAGAATTTATATTTATTGATTTTTCCTTATAAAACCAACTTTTGGTTTCATTGATTTAAAAATAAAATTTTTTTAATCTTTATTTTTGAGAGAGAGAGAGAGAGAGAGAGAGAGAGAGAGAGAGAGAGAGATTGATTGTGAGCAGGGGAGGGGCAGAGAGAGAGGGAGACACAGAATCTGAAGCAGGCTCCAGGCTCCCAGGTGTCAGCACAGAGCCCCACAAGGAGCTTGAACTGACAAACTGTGAGTTCATGACTTGAGCCAAAGTTGGATGCTTAACCTACTGAGCCACCCAGGTGCCCCTTGTTTCATTGATTTTTTTAAGAAAAAATTGTTTTGCAGGTTTGATTTTATCAGTTTCTGATTTGAACTTTACTATTTCCACTCTTCTGTTTATTTTCTATTTTATTTGCTTTTTAAATTGCCTTAATTTGGAAGCTGAGGTCACTCATGTAAAATAATTTTTTTTTTTTCTTTTCTCATATAGTGATTTAGTGCTAATAAGTTTTCCTGTAAGTGTTGCTTTAATGACATCCCACAAAATTTTGATGTATGTTTTTCTTTTCACTCAAAATGTTCATTTGAAATGCTTCCTATTTACCTTTGAGCAGTTTGTTATGATGTCCCTTAGTATAGTTTTCTTCATGTTTCTGTGCTTGGGGTTCATTGAGCTTTTTTGATCTGTGGGTTTATACTTTTTATTAATTGTGAAATATATAGGACCATTATTTTTTCAGATCTGTCTTTTGACTTTCTACTTTCTTGTCCACTGTAGTTGCCTGCTTATTGAAATTATCTCACGGATCATTGATGCCTTCTCATTTTCTTTGAATTGTCTTCTCCCTGTGTATCCTTTTGGATAGTTTCTGTTGCTGTGTCTTCATATTCACTTATGTTTTCTTCTACAATGTTGAATTTTTGTTAATCTATCCCACGTATTTTACATCTCAGACATTGTCATTTCATCTCTCGATGTTTGATTTGAGACTTTTTATTTTACTTTTATTTATTGATTTTTCTAATGTTTATTTTTGAGAAAAGGAGAGAGAGATTGTATGGGCAGGGGAGGGGCACAGAGAGAGAGGGACAGAGGATCTGAAGTGGGCTCTGTGCTGACAGCAGAGAGCCTGATACAGGGCTCCAACTCAAAAACCGTGAGAACAGCTTAACTGACTGAGCCACCCAGGCACCCCGATTTGGGTCTTTTTAATCTCTCATGTCTACTTAACTTTTTCAACATGTGCTATACAGTTAATAGTTTCCTGTTTGCTAATTCTAACAACTTTGTTGCTTCTGAGTCAGTTTCTGTTGATTGCTTTTTCTCCTTTTGACAAGGCAGGTGATTCCATTGATACAGAGGTGTGCCTAAAAAAAAAGATTACCTTAAAAAAAACTGAATTAAGTATTTAATTAAAAATGCAAGCCCAAATGAACAACAAGAAAAAAGCCAAAATGGTAGTTCTTCTGTGAATATTATGATTTATAGAAAGAAATATATATTTGGTTTCTGGCACAGAGCTTTTAAAACTCTTTGATTTTCTTAACTGATTGGAGCAGTCTTTGGTTTTTCTTTAAGAAGCCCCTTGCAAGCACAGCTGAGTTTATGTTAATACTGTGACTTCTGGAAAGCCTTTAAGTGTGGAGGCTGGTTGCCTGGAGAGGGAGTTGGGATTTTCAGTCCTACTGTGTTCTTCCCTACCTGAGGGGAGGGGAGAGGGGACTGGAAATTTTATTGTCACTGAAGAGCAATACTGATTTAATCAATTATGCCTAAATAATAAAGCCTTCCTAAAAATGCTAATGAGAATTTTGTTTTGGCAAACACATGGGAGTTCTGGGAAGATGGCACACTTAGAGAGGGCATGGGGGCTTTATGCTACTCCCCCTTATTTTGCCTTACTCCTCTCTCCATCTCTTCCATGTGGGTTATATCCTTTTATAATAAAACGACAGTCTAGTAACTAAACTGTTTTCCTGAGTTCTGTGAGCCACAGATTAATCCAATCAAGGGAGGGGATTATGGGATTGTGGGAACCTTTGATTTATAGCCAGATAGTTGGAAGCACAGGTAACAACCTGGATTTGGGATGGCATCTGAAATGGAAGCAGCAGGCTTATAGGACTTAAAAGACTTATAAGGACTTATAGTTAGCCCTTACCCTGTGGGATCTGATGCTATCAGACTGAATTGAATTGTAGGACATTGATGTCCCTGCAGAGTCAGAGAATTACTTGTAGGAAAAACCCTCACAATATCTGGTCATAGACATGTTCATTGTTGTAATAGAGTAGAGGAGAAACACAGGAGTGTTTTTTGCCTAGACATTCTGCTTTTGGTGTCAGCTTTTTGTCATCCACATGAGGAAGTTGAAAAGATAGTTTAATCAAATCTAGTAAGAAGCTGGCAAAATCACATTTATTAAAAAGATTCTCACTATGGCCACCAGTAAAAGCAAATTAAGAGCCACTTGTAAAACAGAACCACCAGACTTGGTGAAGAAGCAAGCAGTTTGAGCATATGAAAGCTAAAGAGCTCAGTATCTGAGTATGAGATTCCGCAGAGGAACCAAGGAAGGATGAAATGGGGACTTGAAGGGTCTGGGTCCAGATGAGGTACCCTTTCAGGCTACCTGTGTGGGCATTGTTTCCTAAGGATGTTATCTGTGACTTTCACATTTAATATCTCAGAAAAGTAACTTTGAGACTGTTATTAACACATAAATTATACATATGACAGAGACTGTCATTAGATTGTCAGTTAACATGAAAAACAGGAAACTGTAAAAGAGAAAGAGGAGATTGGGAAAGGGAAGGTAAACAAACATTCTGCAACAGCGAGTTTCTTTTCTTGGGTAGATTAATTAGCCAGTAGCTAGCAAAAAGGCCAGTCTGCCCTTGAACATGTTGTCCGGAGTAATTAGGGGAGAAAAACGTTCTTTATTCTCTGAAAAACTGTGAGAATTTAGCTGTAGAATATATATGACAGGTTGTCTCTCTGTAATGTCTACCAGTGGCCTTAATTTATTTTAGTACCTGCACCAAGTCAGAGCCATTTCCCTCATTTGAGTTTTCTCAGGTTTTGTTTTTAAAGCAATATGAATAAAATGGAAATAATTTTATATATTTTTTCATAAATGGCATAGTATAATACTTCTTTATCTAGAAACATGGTGAATACAAGATTTTTTAATATGAGATTTTTTTGTCTGTTTAACTGCAAAGAAACTTCACACTTCAGTTTTTCCTTGGGCTGTAATTGTCACTGTCCTTTAATTGCCCATGATTCTAGGTTTGGCTTTATCAGCAACTTTATCACCCGAGCCCAAAACACCAAACTTTTTTTTTTTTTTTTTAATCTTTGGTATACAGAAAGAGCTGGTGTAATGCACATTTTGAAGTGTATTTTTATTATCTAATTTGTGTTTGTAGTGGATCACCAGAAATCATCCAGGAATTACTAATATGTCTCCATATTGGTGACAGGTATTCTAGGAAGTAATATATGAATGAGGGTGCTGTTCATCTTAGTTGTGCTGTTCTGAATTAATTGTGACAAGCTAATACGATCTTTTGAAAGTTTCTTTCCAAGCTTCTTGAGCTAATGCTTTCCCTCTGGCCAGTGGGGTAGACTGCACGTTAATTTTGATACTCTTTAAAGACATGTGGGCAGTTACTGTTCATTTAAGCCAGATGGCATGTGTCAACTCCTTTTCCTGGAAAGGGGGAGGGTTTGGGGGGGCGGCTGCTGTGGTAAAACCTTATGTGTCTTCTTATGGAGGTCTTCTCTTTACATAAATTAGTACTTACAGAAGATTTTCATAGCACTTTGATTACTCCTCTTTGACTTAGGAAGTTTCTTAGCAGATTGGGCCCAGATGTTTTTGTGTAAACTCTCCTTTTGCAGTTATGCAGTAGCAAGTGATCATCGATAAAGTCATATAGAACGAATACTGTTTTTTTGGATAAAAACAAAACAAAGAATTCATAAGACAAGGAATAGGGGACTTTTTATTATATTTTTACCAAGATGCCTACAGTCAGAATCTGAGTTAGGGGATTGGCTCTTGATAATGCAGTGTAGATGCTTTTGGAGCCCCTTAGAAAATTGCCCTGATCCAGAATCAGCCCAGTAGTCTTCTCTACATTAGTACCATGGATTCCAGGACTTGGCTTTTATTGTGCATTGTTAATCACCATACTGCATTGAATTTTATTTTTTCATTAAACTTTTAATTTTTTTCAAGCAAGTACAAATAGGTGAGTGTTTGAATTCTACAAGCATTTAGCATTTGGTTTTCATTTATCCTGATTAAATCCTAAGCTACTGAACTTGAGTAATACTTTTTTTAAAATTTTCACATCCATGACTCTAAGAATTAGAATTTTCAGCTTTCTGGTTTTCTTGGTAGTTGATTTTAAAAGTATTATTTTACTGAGATTCTTACTAGTATTTTCATTTTTTTCAAGGTGTTGACTTTAAGGTGAAAACAATTTCAGTGGATGGAAATAAGGCCAAACTTGCAATTTGGGTAAGAGTTTTATTTATTTATTTTTTTTAATTTTTTTTTTTTGGGGGGTAAGAGTTTTAAAAATGTATTTAATATAAGTATTCAACTTCTACTTTTTAAAGAAGCAGAAATTGATGTGTGTAGAGTTCTAGAGGTACATGAACAATTGATATTAAATATCTTTTGGGAAATTTGATATTGATTAAGGGATAAACAGTAAATAGTATGGCTTATAATTGGACATGAGATAGATACTTGTTTTACTTAAATTTTTAAATTATATAATCCCTTAACATTTAAAAGCAGAATAAAGTATAAAAAATCATCTTGTCTGCCAGAGAGAATTATTGTTATTGAATCTGTTTCTTTAAAGTTTTCAGAAGACAATATAGCCTCAGCTAACACTGAGGCAATTATTTGGGAGAAAGGGATGAAGTGATACTTAGGAAAAAATAATTTTTTCATGTTTGTTAGTATAAATATTTATAAAAACTGAGCTTGCCAACTTTGGATTTATTTTTTAATACTGATTCCCAGTCTTTCTTTACTTACTGGCTTCTTTTTATCCGCCCTTGAATCCAAACATTCTGATACATATTGCTTTCCTAACTAGACCTTTTTGTGGTAGTGCTGACCGAACAAAGTAGCATTAACTGTCAAAAACATCCAAGATGCTCAGTGTCTATGTCTGTCTGCCTGTCTTTTCCCTCCTCCTATCCACCTACTACCTACCTATGTATTTACCTACCTACCTATTTCTATCTAAATGATTGCTAATACATATTTAATATACTAAATATATTATACATATAATTTATAAAAATATACTCTTGTGTATCTGATTCCCACATATACTCTAATTAAATATAGAAACCATTTTTATTACATGTGATAATATTAGAACTGGTCAGCAGTCATCACATGAGATGTACTTCAGCATGGTGATTAAATAGTAAATGGACATCAACTACAGATCGAAACAACAAATTTTCATGCATTGTATCATCTGATTCATCTTCCTGGCATTCTCTGAATGGCATATTATTTCTAACACAAGTTTTATCCTAAATAACAACTAACTGTGTGTATCTCATGTTTTCTTGTTAATTTTTTTCTAACATACAGTACTTTACACGATTGGTAGCCTATTTGCCCCTCTCCCTGAAATATAATTATGATATCAATCAGAATAGTAATGTCTAACAGAAAACAATTTGGCATATGTTGGACTAGGCCATAGTGAAATATATTGAACAGTTTAATTAAAAATGATGGCTTCAGGGCGCCTGGGTGGCTCAGTCAGTTGGGCATCTGATTTGGCTCCGGTCATGATCTCGCCGTTCATGGGTTCAAGGCCCGCGAGGGGCTCTGCGCTGACAGCTCGGAGCCTGGAGCCTGCTTTGGATTCTGTGTCTCCCTCTCTCTCTGCCCCTCCCCCACTCATGCTCTGTCACTCTCTGTCAAAAATAAATAAACATTAAAAAAAATTAAAAAAAAAAGAATGCTGGCTTCTTTCTGTTCAGAAAAAATATGCTACAAATATTTTTTTCCAGTTTGTCGTTTACCTTCAAATCTTGTTTAGGATGAGCGTGTGGGGGCGGTGTGGGTGATGAGGGGAGAGATGTTCTTGCCAGACCAAGGTGTTAGTACTTATATGGTCAGACCAGTTATTTTTCTTCATGAATCTGGGTGTCGTGTCGTATTTAGGAAGGCCTTCTCACTCATTAAAAGAAATACATGAAACCATTGTTTGCTCTGATTCTTCCGTGGTTTTATTTATATGCATAAAATGAGTTCCCCTCCCATTTGGATGGCCCTCCCAGGATCAGTCAAATAGAATAATCAAGTATAGCCCTGTCCTCATTGCTCCTGAAAGTGCTGCACACACATCATGGCCTACTTGGCACCTCTGATGCTATTTTTCTTTATATGCTGCTCTCGCTGCCACTCCCATATTCTAATACTTTGCCTTTCCAGATCTTCCCTAACCCTTTATCTATTTCTATCTTTAATAATCTCTCCTCTCACATCAAAGAAGAAAACCACAGATAATAAGGTCTGCTTTTCTTCTCTTACAGAGATGTCATTACAGTTATTGCAGATTCCTGTCTTGAAAACAAACACAAGCAAAAATCTTAACTTTTGACTATTTAAACATATATATTTTATAGTTATTATAACTCCTGATCCCATACTATGGCACAGGGGTTTTGCCCAAATTATCATACCTACTTAAACATCTTTATAAGTGAATCTAAAAAAATTAAGACTCTAAACAGCTGGACTAACTTAAATATTTGTGTATTAAATTGTGCAGTATTTTAACATCAAAACTTTTTTTTTTTTTTTTTTTTTTTTTTTTTTTTTTTTTTTTTTGGCTCTAGGATTTTATTTTAACTAGAATTGCAGTTGTGATTTTTATTTTGTGTTTCATCAAGGCAGTTATTGAACTTGATCTCAGTGAGGACCAAGGGGGCAAAATTCATAGTCAAATGCTTTCTGCTAGTTCTGGAAATTAATTTATTGCAGCATGCATACGGTTTCATTATGCAAACAGAATTTTTCTCTTATAACAAAAAGTCTTGAGACTAAAATATTTCTTGCATGGTCCTTGCCCTAACCTATGTCAGATTATCCAAATTATAATCTGCTTTAGATAGCAAGTGCACTTCACTTTAATTTAATCTTTGTGTTATAATTTTTTATTATGTATTATTATTTTTATTATTTGTTAACTTGTTTATATTATTGTTTTTGAAAAGTTGACTCAGTCTGCAGATTGAATAATTTTAAATATCAGAGAGGTTTTGTAAGAAACTTTGGAGGAAAGGGAGTTTTTGTAAAGAGAGATCATTTTTATCTCAAATTTATCTGTTTAGAAAGTTTACTTTTGTTATCTTTTTCACTTCAACATGGCAGGGTTAGGGGCAGTTTCTGTAGTGGTAAGAATCTGGAAGTAAAGACCGTGTACATTTATGGAAGCTCATCTGGAGGAAGGGAAGAGTAATGGAAATGTAAAGTGGTTTACTTTGAAAGTTATTTTCAACTTAAGTTTCTCTTCTGGGGCTAAAATTACTCATAACACTCTCTAGCTATTGCTCTTGTCTTAAAGCAGTCTGTATTTTGACCAGGCAAAGAAAGTAGGTAATTGCTGGTGCCTGTCATTGCTGGTTTAAAATTCCTCTCCAATCTTATAAACCTCTTAGAGGTTATTAACATGTTTTATATCTGAAGGAGCTTCTGCTTGCCCCATAGCTAAGCTCCAATTTACAGCCATGGGACTGGCAGCTAAGGTGATGTTTGATATATGTCTTCACTTTTCTTCAGGTTATTTTATATTAGCAGACTGGAAACTTTTTCTTAAAGGCCAGATAGTAAATATTTAGTCTAATCCTAAAGCAGGCATATGGCAATGCACAAGCAAATGGGCCTGACTGTGTTCCAGTAAAACTTTATTTAATAAACAGGTGGTGGGCTGAGGGAGCCATTTGTCAACTGCTGTTTTGAAAAGTCTTAGGTACCTTGAAGCCACAGTCAAAGGTGGTAGAAAAAAGACGGAAGGAACCAGGCCCAGAAGTACAGACTTGTTAGTTTTTTGGTTTTTTTTCTTTCAACAAAAGTTGAGCAACAATCCTGTGGCAAGAATTGCTCTAGGCATGGGGGTTAAACTGGTGATTAAGCAGACGAGGTCTCCTTCCTCATGAAACTTAAACTTCCTAGCTAGTGTACATCTTGTTTATCACCCCTGAGATGTGTCAGAAACCATGTGATAACAAGTGGCTTGGTTTTATACATTTTCCTAAAAGAAGATAAATAGAAAACACTTGAAAAGTCCAACCTAAAAATTGCTTACCTAAAATAAGACACTCCTGTAATTCTCTTTTAATTGATTCTATGTTAGAATCACTTGGGAAGATTTTAAAAACTTCAGTCTTACTTTAGACCAATTAAATCGGAACCATTGGGGATTGGACCCAGGCATCAGTATTTTTGATTTCCCAGGAAATTTCATTGTGCATCTCGAGTGGAGAGAACCATGGCTTTCAATGAAATGTGTTTCATGTATGATAAAAGTCTTTTTTTTTTTTTTAATTTTTAATGTTTTTATTTTTGAGACAGAGAGAGACAGTGTGAGTGGGGGAGGGGCAGAGAGAAAGGGAGACACAGAATCTGAAGCAGGCTCCAGGCTCTGAGCTGTCAGCACAGAGCCTCACGTGGGGCTCGAACTCACGGACCGTGAGATCATGACCCGAGCTGAAGTCAGATGTTTAACCGACTGAGTCAACCCAGGTGCCCCTCATGTGTGATAAAAATCTTTATAAAGAACCTCTTTCCTTAGATGCATTTTTTTCTAGAGATGAGTCAGTATTTATTAGTTTTATTGTATGTAACAATTGTCAGTAAGAATACATCTTTAAATTTCAAGTTTTACATGAGCTTGTGCATAGATATTATTTTTAATAATGCTGTTTGACTTTCTAAGTTACATTGAAGATCTGTTAATATTGAAGATCTGTTATATTTTGTTTTATTTAATAATGACTGATTGTCACTTTTAGGATACTGCTGGTCAAGAGAGGTTCAGAACATTAACTCCCAGCTATTACAGAGGTGCACAAGGTGTTATATTAGGTAAGGCTTTACTTTAAGATACTATTGTTGTTTTATTATTGCGGTTTCTGATTTTCCTTGTCTGTGAGGGTCAGCAAGTTTTTATTTTTCTTCAGGTTCGGGGTACCTTTATGTAACTTGAAGTCATATTAGCTTCATTTAATATTAATGAATATTTAAACTTTCAGAATTTCTTTTCAGTCCTTTGTCTAGCAATTAAAAAATAAAGATCAGACTATTTGGTTTTAAAGCACATGTTGATATGGACATAATTGAGGATTAATCCACATGTAATTGGTCTGTCTTAAGAGTGTCACCAGAAACTGATCTTCAGCCCGCATTGTATTGACATATGCTTTAGTTTATAAAAGAAGATGGCTAGTTTCTTGGTGGAGTCTGTTTTATTAGTCCTAAAAAATATCACAAATCACTTGTCACTGTTGATTCATAATCACACAGAATTTTTAAAAAGTCTTAAAAAGTACTTGTTATTGATAATCCTGGGAAATTTTTTAAAATAAATATTGATCAGTTTTAGGGAGAACATAGCTTGTGAGGTTTTGGTTTTATTTTATTTTATTTTATTTTATTTTATTTTATTTTATTTTATTTGGTTAATTTAACAGCAACTCTTATTTTGGTTCAGCATCTTTAAGTTTAGAAGATACTTTAAATTAATAAGCTCTTTATATACTGTAATGCAGTGTGATGTAAAATGAAAGTGATAACAGGGAAACAATCAGGATCCTATCTACTAACTTTAGAAATTTGTTCAAAATTGCAAATTCTGTTCCTTGTGATAAATAAATTAACAGGGTCATAGACGTTTAAAGTCCTCTAAAATGTTTTGGTATTTTGCCACAGATTTGAATCTAAAATGCTTTTTGTTTTTTGGATAAACATCTTCTATTGTTATGAATGGGAACAGCTGTTGTTTTGCTGAACTTAATTTTCAGTTACAGCACAGGATACAATTTCATTTCTCTCAGTGTGTGTTAATAAAATCGAAGTGTGTGTATGTGTGTGTATTATTGTTGTTTAACACACTTATTCTTCCATCTGAGTTAGTTGGTACCATCTGATAGTTAAGAATTGAAGACTTAAAAAAAACAGACTTGCTTATATAATAACATTGCTCTTAGTCACATATCAGAAATGTAATGTCATTGCTTCTTATTTTAAATGCTTATTTAATGAGTGAGCCTTTTTATTTCAGTTTATGATGTCACAAGAAGAGACACCTTTGTTAAATTGGATAATTGGTTGAATGAATTGGAAACTTACTGCACGAGAAATGACATAGTAAACATGCTAGTTGGAAATAAAATTGATAAGGTAAGAAGTCAGACAGTTGGCATTTTGACTACATTTTAGTAGCTTGTCTTAATCTTTGCATTTATATTTTAGGAAAATCGTGAAGTCGATAGAAATGAAGGCCTAAAATTTGCCCGAAAGCATTCCATGTTATTTATAGGTAGGTGTATGAACATTTATCCTTTCATTATTAATGAGGAATTTTAAAATGAAGTTTCTGCTACATTTTTTCTCTTTATGACTGTAAAATGTATGTACTTAGTTCAGCATTTTCTTGTGCTATAAAATCTAACTACAGAGCCAGTTTCTTTTTTCCTTCTGTATAAAAGATAGGATCACATTATGTAAAGTCATGTAGGACACAGATCAGTTGTCTCCGGGTATAATGGCATTCGGTAAAGCCAGGTGCCCAGTGCCATGGTTGTACCTTGCTGGTGCTTGTGTTGGTGGCAGTGGCACCACCTGGAAATTTGTTAGAAATGCTTCATTTCAGGCCCAGCCCAGCTTTTCTGTATCAGAGACTGCATTTTAACAAGATCTTCATGTGATTTGTATGCAATTGATATTTGAGAAGCTTGGTAGAATGGGGGTTGACAAACTACAGCATGGACCAACTCTGGCCCCACCATTTGTATTGGAACACAGCCATACCTACCCAGTTATCTACATGCTGTCTTTCGCTGCGTTCATGCTTCAAGGCAGGGTTTAATAGTTACAACAGAAACCATATGGCATTCAAAGCCTAAAATATTTACAGCAAAAAGTTTGTTGACCGCCTGTCTGGAAAAGTGGACTGGCTATATCACTGTGGAGGTTTTAACATTTTAGGTTTCCTGGGCCTTGTCACATGTCTGAAACTAGGCCTGGAAGATGTTTATAGACACCCTAGTTGATTCTGTGTGAAGGCAGCTTTAAGAATTACTGATGTAGCTATTCCACTGTGTTAGAACCTTTTAGGAATTAGGAAATGGAAACGAAGAACATCGTATATAGATAGAAGCAGGGTGGTATAAAGGGAAGGTAATGGGGAAATTTAGAAAGGAATTGAATACTACCTCTTGTGCTTACTTGCTGGGTGTCCTTCATTTTGATATATTAGTTCAATAAACATTTATTGAACACATACATAACGAGCAAAATGGACAAACTCCCTGCCCTCATGAAGCTTACATTCTAGTAGAGGAAATAGACTTAAATAAGTAAGCAACACTATGATGGAAATAAAACATTCTAAGGGGAGGAAGTATAATGGGGGTAGGAGGTAATTAGGGAAAGTTAAACTTTGAGATAGTCCCATTTGAGCAAGAATCCATCATATGAAGACCTAGAGGGAGAACATCTCAGGCTGAGACAATAGCGCATATTTCCTGAGGTAGGAACCAGTTTAGGTGTGTAAGGAGCAGGAAGAAAGCTTGTGGGCTGAAGGAATGGTATATGTTGGGGAAAGGATGGTGGTGAAGGGAGATGAGATAGAGGTCATTTGGGCATCATAGGATATGGTATGGAAGTGGATTTTATTCCAAGTGTGAAAAGCAGGGGAGTAGTTCTGTAATCTGATATTCTTTAAAAAGGCTTGTTTGTATAGAAAATGTTCCATGAGGAACAGAAGCAAGAGGCTCATCATTCTCTTACAATGGCCCAGATGAATAATGCTGTTGACTTTGAATATGGGAGCGGTTGTGGGTCGTGGAAATTTGACAGATCCAGGGGATATTTTGATGGTAAAGGTGGTAGGCTGTGTAGAAAGATAGATTGGGTCTGGAGGGTAAGGAAAGAGAGCCATGAAGGATAACGTCGAGTCTTTGGCATGAGCAGATAGGTGGATTGTGCTGCCGTTAACCATGTGTGAAAGACTGAGATAAGAACAGGTTTGGGAAAGTGAGTAGGGAATCAAGAAATCTGCGTAGTATAAGAATGGCCTGTTTTTTCAGATAATTAGTGGACATGCTGGTCATTGGCATTTAGCTGGTGTTTAAAGTCATGGAACTGGAGTGCCTGGGTGGCTGAGTTGGTTGAGCATCCGATTCTTTTGTTTATTTATATTTATTTATTTATTCATTTATTTATTTAGATTTTTTTTTAAACGTTTATTTTTGATAGAGACAGAGCACAAGTGGGGCAGGGGCAGAGAGAGGAGACACAGAATCCGAAGCGGGCTCCAGGCTCCGAGCTGTCAGCGCAGAGCCCTACGCGGGGCTCGAACTCACAAACCGCGAGATCATGACCTGAGCCTAAGTCAGATGCTTAACTGACTGAGCCACCCAGGCACCCCAAGCATCCGACTCTTGAATTCAGCTCAGGTTATGATCTCACAGTTCGTGAGTTTGAGCCCTGCGTTGGGCTCTGCCTGCTTGGGAATTCTCTCTCCCTTTCTCTCTGCCCCTCCCCTGCTTGTGCGCTCTCTCCCTCTCTCTCTCAAAATAAATAAATAAACTTAAAAACTTAAAAAATAATAAAGTCATGGGATTGTAGTGATCACAGGAAGAACTGGATAGAAAACGGCTGAAAATTGAAGCCTGGGATACTCCCAGCAGTTAGAGGTCAGCAGAAAGAAGAAGTGTCAGCAAACAGGTTGTGAATGATGTAACCTTGAGAGGAGGAGTGTTCAGGAAGAAAGTGATCAGGTGTATCAACTGCAGCAAGATGTCAAATAAGATAAGGATATTCGATCTGACAAGATAGAGTGTTGGTATTTTTTTAAAGTTTCAATGGAGTGGTGAGAACAAAAGCCTAGATAGAGTACAGTTGACCCTTGAACATTGTGGGGTTAGGGATGCCGACCCCCTACGCTGTTGAAACTCTGCATATAACTTTTGACTCCCCCTGAAGTGAACTGCTAATAGCCTGCTGTTGACCTGAATGAAGCCTTCCTGATCGACAGTCAGTTAACACGTAGTTTGTTATGTGTATTACACACTATGTTCTTACAATAAAGTAAGCTAGAGAAAAGAAAATGTTGCTAAGAAAATCATAAGGGAAAATACCTTTACAGTACTATACTGTATTTATAAAACAAAATCCATGTACAAGTGGAGCTGCATAGTTCAAACTTGTGTTGTTCAAGGGTTGACTGTAGTTTGAAAAAAATTGTGAGGTAAGAAAGTGGTAACAGCTTATGTAGGTAACTCCGGATGACGATTTTGCTTTGAAATAGAGTAGAGAAACTGGGTGGCTACTGGAAGGCTTTGTGGGCTGCAGGGCAGGGTGGTTGGTTGCTTGGTCGGTAGTAAGATGGACAGTAATTTTGGTAGGCTTTTAAGCTGACTGATGTGATCCAGTAGTGGGGGTACATGATTTTTCATTGAATGAGAAAGGATGGGATCCCAGGAGCTAGAAAGGGGGTTGCTCCTAGATGGCAGCACAGCATTTCATCCAGTGTAACAAGACTGAAGGCAGAGCCCGAGGCTGCAAATGCAAGCAGGCTCGTTCGTCCCTTAGTGGGATGATCAGTAGCTCCTGTCAGGTTGTTTTTATTTTTCTCAACATAAAGTTATGTGATGAGCTGAAATAGAAGAGTTTTATGATGAAGGAATAAGAGAGTCCTCTCAGACAGTAAAAAAGGTAATTACTAGGGAAAGTTAGGCTAAGGGAGCAGGGCTAAATGTGCACATGAGTTTCATGAGCATCAATGTCAAAGGAGACTGGCGTCCATGGTTGTATGTCATTTATCCAACCGCCAATAGCTGCTTGGTTGCAGGCACAGAACAACCGGATGGTTCAACTTGGAGACTAAGTTTCCTTATTCTGAAATGGGAATAGTATCTGCTTTGGGGCTGATTTTAAGAGCTAACTGAAAAATTAAGGAGGAACTTTGGCATCATATATGAGTAGGGTTTTACAATGTACAATTCTGTCACAAAATTTTGGGCTTACATACTACTGTTGTTATGGATAGAATTTAAATAGCTCAACTTTGAGAGTTGGTAAATTCATGAATATTAAACCCGTGGGGAGAAATTGCTCATGACTTGTCTTTTTATTTATTGTCGGCTGATATTATGCCATAATAATTTCCCAGAAAAACATAGGAATATGACCAGAAAAGAATGTGCTATGACATTTTTTTCTCGGATTTCAGAGGCAAGTGCAAAAACCTGTGATGGTGTACAGTGTGCCTTTGAGGAACTTGTTGAAAAGATCATTCAGACGCCTGGACTGTGGGAAAGTGAGAACCAGAATAAAGGAGTCAAACTGATACACAGGGAAGAAGGCCCTGGAGGCGGAGCCTGTGGTGGTTACTGTTCTATGTTATAAACTCTGGGAAACTCCCATCTCTTGCATATTTGATCAGATAGTGACATCTTTCTGTATATAAACTCTTTAACTGCTATTTTAGGGACCTTGCAGTTTGCACATATTTGTTTTGTATCATGGCAGTAAATATTTGCAAGAAATCCCACTCATCGGCTTTCCCAGGTAAAATGTTATGGTAAGCATGCACAGTTTGCAGTCTACAGTTTTTTATGTAACATAAAATAGGTGTACTTTTATAAGTACATTTGATTTTATGATTTACATTTATCATGTGATAAAAAAAATCCACCTATTTAGTATATGTTGATACAAGGTCTACTTTTGGTCTCCTCTTTGCATAAATACTCCTCTATCAATTACTGAATTAATTGGTGTGTAGAACTCCTAGAACTACTAGGAGATATTCAGGTATCATCAAACCTGGCAAATTTCCTTTCAGGAATAACAAAGAGCATGATTCCACAGCTTTTGTAGGATGTTTGCAGACAGATTCTCTTTTAGTACTAAGCAAAATTCTCTTTAGAGGATGCAATCCAGGCCAATTTATAATTAAATCTCTGTTTGTTCTGATGATGCTTCTGAAATAGCATTGATATGTTAAGAAGTTTGGTCTTACTTTTACATTTTCTTCAATGAGTAGCTCAGTTGCTTAACTGGAGTTTTAATTCTGTGATATGTACATTGGATTCTGACTCTTTGTGCATCATTTTTAGTTATGTGGTGTTTGGCAAAATGGCAATAAGGTTTTCCCCCATTTTGGTTTCAGAAGGATGAGGATAGTGTGTTTATGTAACTCATGTAGTACTTAACCACTTTTAAAACCAACACCTTTTTCCATAAATGTTGATGGTGTTTGTCCAGGTACCTCAATTGTAGCTCGTGTAATGTTTATGAACATCTGTATCTTACGACTCCCCTAAATGGCTAGTTGATTCAAAAACCTATTTCTGTGTGTTGAGGGTTGGGAAAAAAAAAAAACACTAAATGACCATTTGAGAAAGACATATTGCTTCCAGATTTTGATGTGTGTGGGAAAATACTGTTGCAATGAAAATCTTGGTAATTTACTGTAACAAGTAGCCAATAGTTTATCAAAACCAACTTGTCCAGACTAATAAATCTTTTCCACAGTATACAGTTTTCTAACCTCTTGCTATTATACATTGCATATTTTTTTTCACTCGTATGTTATTTAACTTACATTGATATCTGCTGTTTTATGCCCCTGAATAAGTTATTTGTCCTTTCAGGCAGGTTACCATGATACCCCCTCAGTAAGATTTCTGATACTAATTTCTGGGTACAAATACTAATTGTATAGAGTTGCAGGTGATACTTTTTGGGGGTCACTTTTGCAATACTCGTGATAGTGGATTTACTTCAAGTTGGGTTCTAAAATGTACATCTTCACGTAAGAGAATCTTACATTCTACTTGGTTCACACTTCTTAGACTACATTACATGTGATTAAAGGTTTTATACGTTATATATGTATTTACTAAATATAAAACATTTACTCCTTTACTGTTGGAGAAAGGTAGCTAACACGTACTTATGATTTGTTTGTGTCACATTACAGCTGTAGATTTGTGTATTTATGTAGTGTTTGTATTGACAAGACATTCATTTCTTTGTGCTTTTTGCTCTTTGAGCTATATAATAATCTTTTTGTGTATTGGATTGTCCTGTTGATTTGGTCAAAATTTGGATACATATGAGTCACTTACTTTTAAACACTAATTTTGTTTGATAGAACTTTATTGTAACCTTTTGTAGTTTTTGAAATAAATATAGCCTGCTTTCCCTAGATGCATTTGCGAAGGAAGTATTCTACATCTCCCTGTTACTTTCGTTGGCTGAGGAACATCTGAATGTAGTCTGACTCAGATTCTATTCTGTCATATGGCTTTCACTTTACTATTTTGTTGCAAGCTTATTGTTTCTTAGTGGAGGCTTTCTTTTTCTTTTTTTCCAGTGTTTATTTATTTTGAGAGTGAGCGAGTGGGGAGGGGCATAGAGAGAGAGAGGGAGAGGGAGAAAAAAGAATCCTAAGCAGCCTCTGTGCTGTCAGTGCAGAGTCGGATGCAGGGCTTGATCTCAGGAGCTGTGAGATCATGAGCTGAAACCGAGAGTCAAATGCTTAACTGACTGAGCCACCTAGGCGCCCCAGTGGTGGAGATTTTCTAAGTGAAGTAGTTATAGCATCTAAAATTGGCCACTTAAATAGCTGAGGATTTTGTCAGTTCTTCATTTTCACATCATTGGAAGTAGTTTAGAAGTGCCTTTTGCAGATGATGCAAATTAGAACAGTTGGAATACAGTGTTTGGGATTCTAGGAGTGCTGACACAGATCTAAGCAAATAAATAAATATTTAATTTATGTTGAGAGTAATAGTTAACATTTACTGAAAGCTTCCTTGGTGCAAGGTGCTGTTCTTAGTGCTGGATTAATTCCTTAAGCCTCACAGCAACCTTAAGAGATTGGTTGGTACACCTGTTATGCCCATTTAAAAAATGAGGATAGTGAAACCTAGATATGTTAGGTAACTCCCCAAAGATCACATAGCTTAATCAGTGATGGAGCTGGATTCCAGCATTTTTATATGCCTATACTCCTAACCACTGTTCCTTTTGTGTGGCTGTTTACTAGCTTTTTGTTTTAACACAGCAGGGTTAAAGGAGTTCCCCTATTTTTTAAAAATCATTCTTTTGTTATTTACTTTTAAAATCTGAACTGCTTCTATTAAGTAAATTCCATTGGTATAAACTAACCAGGTAAGTCATTTGACCTAAAAGTTAAGGTAGGAGAGTGGGTAGTCTTAGTTCTTTGGCCTTCTCAGGATTGAATGAAAATCCCTGGTTTAGGAAAGATACAAAGGCAGGGGACATGTGGGACCTTAACTTTTTAATTGGCCCTGAGAAAAGAAATTAAATCTGGGAACAGTCTTTTGCTCAAAATTGAAATCTGGGGGGGGGGGGGGTTTCATTTCGAGTACTTAGTTGCCATATCTGCAGATTCACACTTGGTGTTGACTTTCTAGTTGAATGCAGTGGCATTGAACTTGATTTTGATTCATTGTACTTTTCATACTCAAGAAGTATATGTGATTCTGTACAAGTGTGGGACTGGCCCCATAGCTCATAAAAGAATCCTTATATCATTACTTTTTCTGTCTGTAAGATGGCACAGACCTACCTCATATCCATGATATCCTTAAAGATGTTTTTTAATGTTTTTTATTTATTTTGAATGAGAGAGTGAGGGAGCATGAGTGGGGGAGGGACAGAGGGGGGCGAGGGATAGAGAGGATCCCAAGTGCTTTGTGCTGTCAGTGCAGAGCCCAACACGGGGCTTGATCTCATAAATCATGAGATCATGATCTGAGCCAAAATCAAGAGTGTCGGATGCTTACCCATAACTGAGCCATCCAGGTACCCCCCCCCACCCACCGCCCGCCCAACATAGTATCTTTAAACACAGTTTAGTGTATAGTTTTTCTGATTTTCAAGTAAACTGGTATATTCCTCTAGGTCCTTTCATTTGTAGGTCTTCTCAGTATTCAAATATTATGCTTCTTATCTTGGGTTCCATTTCACTAGTCATACTTTGGAAGTTTTTTATCTGTTTAGATAGAGGGATAAAAGCATTTAATGTTTCCAGAAGACATTCTAGTTCTGACCCCAGCCACACCTTGGGTTATTAACTAGAGATTCCATCCTGGGTTTTGTCTAAGAATGTTGAAAGAAGTGAATAAGAAGAAGTAGGCTAAATCAAGATTTGGAGCTAAGGAATATAAATACAGATTTACCCAGATCTCTTTTTTTCCCGTCCAAATGGGAACATCTCTTCGGAGGGGGAAAAAAGGAGTCAACTTCTGTTATGGGGCTTTAAATTTTCCTATTGTTATTAGCTTTCTGTTTCATATTTAAGAATTGGTGTTGTTTCTGGTTGTGGTATAAAGTTTGGGTGCCTCTTAGAGCTGTTTTGTTACACACACATTTCCAGTTGTGTGAGCACCTATTGTCAGTCCTGCCCTCCCACACCTCTCTCACAAACAGTACTTTTTTTTTTATTATTAGCCTGATAAGCAACAGATTATTTAATTTTATTTGTATTTTTTTGATTACTAGTGAGATTGGGCACTTTTAGTATTTTATTGGGTATTTGTATTTTCTTTAATTCCTTGCTCATGTATGCCGATCCAGCATTCACTTCCATGTCTTCTTTGGATAACCAACTTCCTCCCATCATGCATGTGGTTTAGACGGGATTGTCACACCCCCAGCTCCAGCTAGAGTTGACCTGGTTATCTTTAACCAGTGCTACTAACTCTCCCTTTTCCCCCACCCCCCAAAATAAATGGTTCAGGGATAGTCACCTGACCCAGCTCAGGCTACTTAGATACAAGATATTTGCTGAGGCTTCCTTAGGACCTGCTGAAAGAAGATACCTTCTTGGAGATAGTGCGGTGCAAAGACTCATGTTTTGAACTTGCTGCAGCTAATTTTTTCTACTACAAAAGAGTCAGCCTCAGGGAGGCTTACCAAGAAAATAAGAGGGAGTCTAAGTTGGAGCCCTGATGCAATTTGAAACCTCTGGATCAAGTTGGACCTGAAATCAGATTTGCTTCTGGACTTTTTACTTATGTGAGCCAATAAATTCCTTTTGTGTTTTAAGCCAATTTGAGTCGGATTTTCTTTTTTCTTGGAACCAAATGTATGCCACATGAGTGTATGTGTTCTTATTAGTAGGAGCTTTTTGTACACTTGAGTTCAATATGTTGATATTTATTTGCATAGAGAAGAAAGAAGTAAAACTATCACTTAAAGAACCATTACTCTTAAATAACTTAGTATTAGTGAGGTTACTTTCTCATGTATTTCTTTATAGATATAGACATATAAATGAGTTACATTCATACATGTGATTTTTAAGGACTTCTTTGTTTCTAAGGTCTCCTGTGTTTTGATTTAGTTTCCTCTGTCACATGGATACTTACATGAATACTTACTTCTCTCCCCCCTGAGGGAATCAGTGTTACCTGGCATGTATATACCCTTTTTGCATTTCTCCATGCCTCCGAGCTCTCCTCCAATGCAAAAATATGTATATACATTGTCACACAAAAATGGTATCATCTGTGTATTTCCTCCTATTTCCTTTCTTACCTAACCGTACATTGTGAAAATCACTTCAAACCAATTTATATGCATGTAACCTCTATTTTAGTGATTGTGCAATGTTACTATTCCGTGGTATGGATTACCACTATTTAACCACTCCCATAGAAACGGGCGTTTATATAGTTTCCATTTTTTGCCCTTGCAGATGGTACTGCAATTAATATCCTATCCACAGATCTTGTTGTTTCTGTGGGATATGTATCTAAGAGTTGGATCCATGGGTCAAACAAAAATGTGTATTTTTTAGGTTTGATGTATTTTATAGATGCCTTTCCAAAAATTTGTAACAACATTTCTACTAGCATTTCCCAGCATCAGCAGGAAGTGTTCCCAAGTTTTAATTTTTGTTACTTTGTATTTGCAAGGTGTAACTTATTTTAGTTTGCATCTCTGTAGAGCATTTTCTCATGTGTGTGGGCCATTTGTAGTTGGCCTTCTTTTGAAAGGATTATTCATATTCTTTGCCAGTTTTTCTGTTCCGTTTTTGTGGTCTTATCTGATATCAGCTCTTTGTATAGTACAGATTTTAACCCATATGTGTATGTTTTAAACATTTTTTCTGACCTATGTTTTTTCACTTTGATGATATGATTTTTATTACAAGTTATTTTTTTATATTTTGTACCTTCTGGGTTCCCCAACTTTCAGGTTGTACATGATGTCTCCTTAGCATCTTCTGAGATTGTTTTATTTTGAACTATTAAAAACTTGGAATTATTTTTGCTTATGACTCAAAATAGGGAGCCATCTTACTCCATATGGATAGCTGGTGTGCCTACACTACACATTAAATTTTATTTTCCCTACTGAGCTGAATTACCACTTTTGTCCTAGATGAAATTCCTGTAAGGAATCTACTTTGGCCTTCTGTTTTGGGGGTCTCTTAACCTTGGAAAGTTACATATTTCAGTGTAGTTGGTTTTCTTTAATCCTATGTATATCATTTTAT